AACACAAGCCTCGTAGCTTACCATGGAACTAGATGGTGCTGTGTGTTAATGACTCAACGTATTGATTATTATTATTATTTATTATATGTTATTATAATTCGATCACTCCTTACATGATTGTATGGTACATAACTTACAACTCCCAACAGCTACTTGTGGCTTTAATTTACTTTTCAATGTATGTTTTTATTAATTTTCTTATAATTCTTTTCCATTTCAAACACTTTTTATAACAGACTAGCGATTCAGACTCTCTGCGCGCGGGTTCGTCCCTATTTAAGTTTAGTATAGATTTCTCAGAAATAAAATATTTTCCCGCAGTAAAAACAGTAAAAAGTACCTTCTATGTTGACCCGCATAACTATCTATCATCATATTAAATTTTATCAAAATCTGTCCAGTAGTTTTTTCGTGGTGCGATCCCAGACAGACAGATAAACCAGACAGATAAAGTTTACGTGCGACTCACCGGCAAAGCCAGTACTACCCACCAAAAACCTCACCGAACCTCCCTCGTCTTAATTTGGCGTCTCATGATCGCTTAGGCACTCAACCACGACGCCCCGACTGCAGGCCTGCCGAAGCAGACCATAAAAATCATGGGGTTTCTCTAACGGTCCACTCCGTTGTCAGAGAAGTACCAGGAGCAACCCGCATGGGCTTTCTCCCTGTGCGTTTCTTGGCTTCGCGCCTGGTTGTATTGCCGGACGCTAATGAGCCCGCACACCACGACAAGGTAAAGGCACATTGGGGGGGGGGGGGGTTTAGTTTAAAAAAAACACAATACATGTGTTGTAATAATTATATTAATAAGCATTAGTGTAAAGGTTCAAATAATTTTGACTAGAACAAATAATTTGTCAACAGTCCATACAAACATTGTCACCAACAAATTTCTTTAGTCAACTCCTCTAAGGTGTTGAATTTTAACAATAAAATAAATCTACAAAGTTGCAAAGCCAGAAAATACTTTTTTTTGTACAGCTTTGTTATGCACATGAACACCACTTCCATGCAATCCGAATTTGAAAATATTCTATCTTAGCGGTTATTTATGTAAAATCTCATCACTGTGAGTCTAGCGTTATGGTGGTCTGGGTTAATAAAGTGGGACGTTTACCTAATTTTAATTATGTAAATAGAGGTTATATACATATTTATTTAAATAAGGTGTATTTAATTTATAACTGCCTCGGTGGTGTAGTGGCTAGCATGTACGGCTGCACACTCGGAGGTCCTGGGTTCGAGTCCCGGGTCGGGCCAAGTTTAGTTATTGAGTCTTTCTGTATAGTAAGTCTCAATAACAGCCCGGAGTTGGGAAGTTGGCGGTGCTTCACCCCCGTGCCTCGGAGAGCACGTAAAGCCGTCGGTCCTGCGCCTTAACTCTCACCGGTCGTGTCGAGTGGTCGTCCCACCGGAGTACGAGAGTGATAGGAATAGAGAGTGCACTTGTGTCTGCGCATACACTTGAGCACTATAATATCTCCTGCGCAGTTGGCTAATCTCAATGAGATTGGCCGCCGTAGCCGGAATCGGGTAGGAGAACATCATTTAATTTATGTATGGGTGAGCTAATCTCTGTAGGGCTACTGTACAAGAATATTTATGTAACTTGACAGCTGAATCCACTGAAACTAAGTTAAGTGCCTATTTGTAAGAAGTAATGATTATCACACAGTGACTTTTGTTTATTTATTTATTTGTAAAAAGCACACTTGCAACATACATATGAAACATTTTCAATTAATTAATGTAGTAATAATATACCTTATATGTATGTCAATTTTAAGTGTACATAGCATTTAAATATTCATGTATTAATAGTACAAAAATTTAAAAATAATAATAATTATAGATAAATTTCATAATATAAAAGAAATTTATAAAATTTTACTACATGTAACTGTTAAAATATTTAAAATATTTTTCATAATTAAGTACTATTTATTCGTATAGCTATAGGGTGCGTTTTATAGACTTAAAACTTAAACATAAACAGGGTTAAAATATTAAATGTTCTGTGAATTTTGTTTTCTTAAATGGTCGTCTTAGTCCATAATGAAAAATTTACAATAAAAAAGTGTGCAATTTAATTTCAATAAAACTAAATTTTAATCATCATAGCCATATATGTATGTAGTATACTCGTATGTAGAGTATATCTCTTTATAATGACCGAATGAAAATCCATACTTCCATACTAGGTATATTATAAATGTGAAAGTGTGTTTGTTTGTGTGTTAGTCCTTCTTTCACGTCTAACACAGAGGACGGATTGGGGTGATTTTTTGTGTGGAGATAGTTGGACGGCTATAGAGTGACTTTTTAGCGCGGAAGATTATTTTATTCCCACGGGAAAACACGTTATAATACAATAAAAAAATATATTTATGGTTAGAATCACGTGACACTTGTTATTAATCCTCTTCAACACAAATAAATACGTGTTTTATTTAGAGTTTTTTTTAGTTTTGCACGAGCGAAGCCGCGGGTACTGCTAGTAATTATATAATTTAAGTTTTCTTCAATTGAACAACAAAACAGACAAACAGACAAATCTATACATATAATTCAATTCTAACTGAGTCGAATCTGTACATTAAATATTTTTCGGAAAATCTTATTGAAATAGTTATCATTATCGATATAAGGCCAAATCTATAGTTTTTAGAATTTTTGTCTGCCTGTCTGTCTGTGATCGCATCACGAGAAAACCGCTGGACAGATTTTGATGAAATTTGGTATGATGATAGCTGGGTCTACATATAGGATACTTTTTACTGCGGGAAAATATCTCATCTCTGAGAAATCTATACTAAACGTTAAAACGTAACTAGGGACAAACCCGAACGAAGCGAGGGTAAGTCGCTAGTTTGTCATAAATTATAAACTCATTTGACGTATGCGTCAAGTAGAAATGATAAATCTTGTCAATATTAAATTATTATTAAATTAAGTTAGGTAAAAACCTACGTAGGTACTCTTATATAAAATTTAAAAAAAAAAGAGTGCGTGTATCAATATGTATACGCGCAAGAGGTGAACTTCTGTAGATTGTCGCAATTTTGTTATAAAATTCATAAAATAGGATAGGAGAGATACTAAAAAAAATTTTTTTTATCGATTTGAAAGGAAAACTATATTTTATTATTCACATATAGTGTTTTAGATAAAAATCAATGAAATGTTGTAGATAATGTTTCACTGAACTATATACTTACTCCAAAAAATAAATGATAATACAGGGATGCAAATTTTTTGAGCAACTTTTTTTTATAATGTGTAAAAAAATATTTCCTCTAAATAATTTTTTAACAATATTCATTTCATATGATTCCATCGCTCATTTAAAAATAAATTATAGAAGTATTTTTTTTTATAAATATCTATTTTTATTTAAATTATTCTTTGAAATATTCATATAATAGTTTCAAAAAGTAGTTTCACTTCCGTAACGTACAGGCCCAGCGTAACCGTTTGTGTAAAAAAGTCTCAACGCCAATCCTTTTTTTCCCTCTCATGGCGCGCCCAAAGAAGTTTCACTTCAATATACATATATTTCTATATAAGTAAAATTAAAATAAGTACTTGAAATTTAAAAGTTAAAATTCAAATATTCTGCTTGTTGCTTTGAATAGACAAACATGACATTCGTTTCCAGAGTGGGTCAGAAAGCTCTACAATTGCACTTTCAATTTATCTCGGAGTCAATGCTAGACAAAAGTATATGCATTGTAAAAAATTCTTGAATCTGGGTGAAATAAAAAAAAACATTTCTAAAGCAATATTTTATTTATTTCTTAGGGGTAGTATTTCTTAAGTGTAAAGGTACTTTTGATTTCTGTAAATGCTGTCGTGTTAATACATTTTACACAAGAGCTGGTGGTGTATAAGAAATATCATTATAATACAAAGGTTGTATAGGATATTGTGAGTATTTATACAAGTGTGTCTAAAGTGTATAAAATTTGTCACTAGTAGGGGCGTCATCAATACAAGGTTCTAAGTATAAAATAGATTTAATATGTATTTTTGTATTCCTAAGAGGGAGTGCCTACCTAGTAGAATATTTAAGGGATTCTAGTTCTTGTTTTATCTAGCTAGCATTGCATATAATTAAACTTTAGAGATCTCAAAAAAATGTTATTAGAAAAATAAGTCGGATAAAATAATTCTCTACTGAATTACTACGTATTGAAAAAAATTAAAATAATTCAATGTATTACCTATGACGTATAGCATCTTCATGTACCCGAACCCGCCTTGTTGTTGCATTCATTTCACCTGAACATTTTATGCCAATCAATTGGTATGTTATTGCAAGTTACAGTGTGTTAATTAAAGTGTTAATTGTCTGTTTTGAGATGAGATTTAGAATATAGTGTTACGAAGTGATTGTTAGTAGTAAAATTTTAAGTTAAGTTTTAGTTTTATGTAACAGAACTTTTTGAGAGAAAAGAACCTGTAGGATGAGTATAGTCATTCACATATGTAAGAGTGTTATGGTGTGATTAAGGCAGCCATATAATTTAGTTAAAACTATAGGTATACTCTTTACATTTTTTAAGTAAAGTATATTATAATACTGTGTTTATTTTATATATTTATATATTAGGTTTAAATTAAAAAAATATGAACGGCTTGCCGCCGATTTTTTGATTATATATTTATTTAACGCGAAAAAACTGTTGAACCCAACACAACGTTTAATGGTAAACTCTATCGATCCAAATATAGAAGGGCACTTTATGCGCAATCAAGTGATAATAATAAATTGTTAGCATTTATTTATATTACCATAAAAAGACAACACAGTGCGACACAAAGGGCATGCTATAATTTACCAAATTGATCCCATCGTACATGTTATCCAGCGATATTGTTTAATACATATCTAACATAAACTCGTCGTGATAAAATTGAAACATAAAGCGTTACTTACATACCTTGAATTTCACAGCCAATCTAAACAACTGAAAACTGACATCCATAAATATTTACATTCCGGTATATAGACGTGAAATGCGTAATCGCGTGTTACGAGCTACGAGCGGGGCGCGTAGAGTTGGTCGGTGTCGGGGCGGCGCGGCGCGGTGGCGGCGGGCGCGCGGCGCGTGACGAGCGGCTCCGGGGCGCCGGCATACTAGTCGCCGGCTTGCGTGCGCGAGAAGAGCGCGCCCCACGAGCGCCAACTGCCGAGTGCCGCGCTGAGGCCTGAGGGACGCCGCCCGCCCGCCCAGCGTGCCGCCTTCGCCCGCACTCACCCGCACACCTCTAATTCTAATTGCTGGCCATCTCCTACGATCCAGGTCATCGTGCCCCTACTTGAATTCTTTACGCGAGAAATTAGTTTGTAATTTGAATATTCAATATATGCTATTCGAGCTTCAGTTCCTGTTAGAACTACGAAGCAGTAAAAAATAATAAGGCAATAACTTTCGTTTATAGAAACCGAGAATGCGAAGTCCCAGATAAGCTCTATGAAAGAGAGAATCTTGCGACAACAAGTTATGAATATTTTTATTGAAATTAATTTATCGAAGTAAAAGTTATAAATAGAGATGTGCCGCCGACTAGTCGGCCACTTTTGTAGTCGGCGACTAGTCGGCGAATAGTCGGCAAAAAGGACCGACTAGTCGACTTCTTACTTTCTACGTATTTTTCAGTCAATCCATCAAAATATATTTTAAACAAATAGACTTTTACAAGCTCTTTTAAATCGTCATTTTTACATTATGAAAATAAAGACTTTACATTAAATATCTGTGTGCAAGTCCGTGAGGAAACTAATAAATATAGTATTTATAGCCCTTTTTCATGTTAGAAATGATTCGTACATGAAAATATCAGAGGTGCGAGACAGAGATTGAACCCGCGTTACTCGGTTATCCACGCGAGCGTGTCACTGGGCTATCACTGTCGCTATAGCTAGAGAGCCAGCTTAAATCTGACAACACATATATTATGATACCTGAAATTTTGTCCAGCTATACTGCTATACCCACTGAACAAGCAACGAGTACTAGCTAAGCTCGACCGCGGAATTTATACTAATGATTTGCTATTTTTTGTACATGACAAACATGACATAGTTTTGTTCGCTGATGACACTTCACTTATTTTTAAAGTGAAGCGCAATTCGCTAATGTACGACGATGTAAACGATGCTCTCTCAAAGGTTGTCTATTGGTTTGATTCAAATAATTTATTATTAAATAATAAAAAGACAAAATTAATAGAACTCTCAACACCTAATGTCAAACTTGTTAATAATGGTGTAATATTAAATGGCAAAGTGTTAAAACCTGTAGAGTCCACTAAATTCCTAGGTATTATCATAGATTTAAAATTGCAGTGGGGCCCCCATATTGAGGGGCTAGCGAGTAGACTCAGCTCTGCAGCGTTCGCGGTAAAAAAATAAGACTTCTTACTGATGAAGATACAGCTCGCATAGTTATATTTTAGTTATTTTCATAGTATTATGTCTTATGGTATCGTCCTATGGAGAAATGCAGCTGCTATTAATACGATTTTTGTCCTGCAGAAAAGAGCTATTCGTGTATTTTATGTATAGTTTAGGTCCTAGAGTGTCATTAAGAGATAAGTTTAAAGAAATAAAAATATTGACTGTTGCTTCTCAGTACGTGTACGAAAATTTTATGTAGGTCCGTAAAAATATACACGAATTTTCCAAGAAGTGTGACATGCATAAAATTAATACTAGGAACAAAAACAAACTTTTAATGCCTGTGACTCTACACAGAGTCAGTAATTCTTTTTATGGACAATGTATACCCTTGTACAACAGGATCCCAGAAAATGTTCAAAAGTCTTCTATCGCCTAATTCAAAATTTTTTTTGTTAAAGAACGTTTGTGTGCTAAAGGCTATTATACAATAAATGATTTTATAGAAGATGGCACACCTTGGGAATGACATGATCGCCTCCAGGCTACTTCAACTTGATAGAAATATTGTAAATTATATTTTACTTTAAAAAAGATAGCAAATTACCCCGCTGAGTTTCTTTCGCCAGTTCTTCTCAGGTCTGGGGCTTCTTCTTTCCGAACTGGTAGTAGACTCATGACGTTCAGTAAAAAATTGTAATAATTTATTGCTGAATAAAATATTTTGAATTTTGAATTGAAGTTGACGGAATAGGTACCGTTGAAGGTAGTTCTGCTTGGATTTGCGACTGCCAGAAATCGTCTGTGGTCGAACATTTTATCGACGAACTTAACTGAGGTGTCAGGCTTGGATGTCAGTATTTAATATGGTAGTTCATACTTGTAGTATTAGCTGTATTCCCATGCCCGCCACGAGAAATTATCATTTGGCATTGGTTACACTTGACTTTGCGGGAATCATGTCCAATTGTTCAAAAAAAATCTATATACGAGACTTTCTTTTTGACATTATTAAATTTTAATTAAACTTTTACACTTTAATGAACAATTACACTATTTACCTTACAAAAAATATTTCTTATACAAAAATACCGCTCTGACCCGCACAACAGCAAAATTAAAGAAACAATGCGAAGTACACAAAACAGATTCTGACACGTTCGCGGGCGGCGGCTGCGACTTGAGCGTGAAAGAACGGTAAACGAAGCATCAGGGAAAGCCCCCGAAACAGTGATCGGCTTGGTCGACTAGTCGGCCTCATTACAGCCGACTAGTCGGCTAGTCGGCTAGTCGGCCTAAGTCGTAGTCGGCACATCTCTAGTTATAAACGTTAAACATAAATATGAGGAATACAGATATATAAATTATATAGATTTTTTGTCATTTGAATATTAAATTTAGTAAGTATATTATGTGTCGCATGTGACGTGTGTCTTTATTTGTTAAACATAAATAAAAAGCTCCTGTTTATACAAAAAAGGGTTCAAGCTGACGCTTTTCATTGTTTTACTCTCGTTTTGAAATTGATATCGTTTATTGGAAATGTTTTAGTAGCTGTAGTGTCAGCCTATTAGTGGACACAGATGACAGGCCACAAGCTACTTCTAATGAGAGGGCTTCTAACCTTTGTAGCTCATTAGTTGGAATGTGAGTTCATAAAAAACACACGGCTCTTAAAGCCCCAGTTTATTTTTAAAGGAAAATTATATTTGCTTAAAAAGCATATTTAACAATGACTGATGGTTATTTTACTTATTAGATATAGTGTATTAACTGAACCGAACTGGTAGTAGACTCATGACGTTCAGTAAAAAATTGTAATAATTTAATGCTGAATAAAATATTTTGATTTGATTTGATTTAATTTATGTAACTCTACTTCTACAGTCATGCATTGAGATTTAAAGATTGAGAAAACTGTAAATAACCTTTGCAGATAGGTCAAGATCCGAAGTAAGGTCATTGCTCAGCCATCTGCTTCATCATCATCATCACTTTCTTATGCTCATTGGTTGAAAAGTATTTTGTATTATAGTTTATTATAATACATATACAAATATATCGCATATGGATATTTTAGTGAAATATTGTCAAGGTTACATATAATTTAAAATAAATTAATAGTCAAAAATCCGTTTTTAACAACAAGCTTTTTTAAGTTTATTTTCTTCTTTTTAGCGCAATAAAATAAAAGCTTTTTTTACTATAAATTAATATATCTATTTTTTAAATTTACAAGTAATGGTGTAATAAGTGAATACGTGGTATATAAAACTTTATATTTTTGCTGCTGACCGCTGAGGAGATGTCTCATTTGGAGCCAACCCTGGACTCAGCAGCCAAGTCGCGGTAAATGTTGCTATTTAAAAAAATAAAAAATAAACGGGATATAATAATTCACTGCGTATATAAAATTTCATCTCTGTACTGCTGATGCACGCACAAGTTGCTTCGTCTGGAGCCAATCTTAGATGGAGAATCCGGTCACAACTGTCATCGTCATGGGAACTGATCCAACGTGTAAAATTTCATCTCTTTAGGATATGAAGTAGTTCTAATTCCGCTTGCTAGATTTGACCCACACAAACATACCAACTAACAAACATTGCAAGTTAAATAAAAGCTAGTAAAAAACATTACTTATATTTTTTTAATATACCCATTTATCTAGGTGACGGATTATTAAAGGAATTTGATATTATATTTTGAAAATATAAAGCAATATGGAAATACAATAGTTAAGTTGCGTGATTTCTGGGTTTGAAATTTAAAAATTGGAGCAAGGCAAGTCGGACGTTGTAGAATTGCGATAAAGGAACACTTAACGTATCATAAACGAAACAAGGAAGAAGATTATTATACTTTTTTAATAATGGATAGACACTTTGATCATATTATATTTTGCAAACAATCTGGGATATAATTGTTTATATATATACTATGTTTAATGTAAAATATTACTTTTCATTCCATAAGCATATGGGTCATTGAGACCCTTGCCTCAGATCTAGATCTAAATGTGTCTCGATTATTACTTTCTCGTGTATTGGCGGTGATGAAACTTAATCTTGGCAAGTCACAGAACTAACTTCGACGATGCGACATAATTTGATGGCCCGAGGCATGCAAATTTACCAGAATTAAACACAGTCAACACTCATCAAGTGTGTAAGCCCATAACATTTTACGATTAGATTCCTATTAGAAATGATAATAAATTAAAATCATTTTACATTAACTATTCTGGAAATTTTATTTATTTTTTTGTAGGTCTCTAATAGTAGCGACAATGCAAAATAAAATAGTTTGACGCTCAATAATATTACCTATCCATAAATAAATACCATCACTTAACTAAATGTGTTCTACTAGGTTTTGGCTATACTTTGCTTAGCTTACGCGGTAAGTATTTTAGTCAACAAAAATATAAGCTATCTTCATTCTCAAATCACTACCGTTGAGTCGTTATAATAGATAGATTAATAAGAAACATTAACACCTGCATTCACTTATTCACAAATTTTCGAATTTAAAATATTGGTGCCATGTTATGTACTTATTACGAAGTAGGTATTATTATAAATCCGATTCGCAGCCCATGGGCTGCACGGTGCACCAAAATCGTCTCCTTTTTTATTACATATAGGTACTATAGTATAGCCGAAGCAGCGACAAAAAAAAGCACTGGCATTCACCTCAAGTGTCACCCATGCTTGTTTCTAATTGTGATTAAAACGTTATTTTTTTATTTATAAACTGCAAGAAAATACTGCCTTCATAATCCGCCCCGTAAACTGGAGACAAGTTGTTCTTTTAATTAAAGGTAGTATTTCACTATCCACCTCCAGGCTCCATCTTCGGATCAGCTCAATGGTATCAAATTTACTATCAT